ACCGCTTGCTGATCCCACTGATCTCCAAGATTTAATGAGCTTTCCTAGTGCAATGTCTCTCTTCCTTGCCTCCTGCCTCTCTCTGAGGCTTGTGATTAGAGATGAAGTCTGAGCGCTGTGTAGCTGCCTTCAGCCAGGCTCAGAGCAGGAGCCCTCACGCTGTGATGCTGGGACCAGGGAAATGCAGATGTGGCCCTAACAGGCTGAGGATGACAGGTGAGTTAGGGAATGGCTTCTAAAAGTAAAGGCTGTGAGCATCAACCAAGTGACAACACGACACGGTGGTGACGATGGAGAGCAATGGGTCTGGTTACATCTTGTTTAGTCTCAATCTCTAGTGTCAATCTGCATGCAAGTGATGGAAAAAACGATTTTCAATTTAGAAGTTCTTTGTCAGCTGCTGCTTTAAAAAAAAAAAACCCAGTGGTGCCAGGCTGTGGACATTGCCACCCTGTGTCATGCCCTACTCTGGGCACAGTGCACAGTCCTAAGGGCAAAAGCACCTATGCAATAAGAATGTTGAATATCTTCAGAAAGGGGGGTTTCATCACTCATCCTGTGCTGAGCGGGCCTAGAAGGTCACTCATGGTTTACCTGGTTCTTTACTCCCTGACTCTGCTTTTAGAAATAAGAGTCTAGGAGAACGTAGCATTGATTGCAGTTGATTGCAACTTCCCCTGCCTCGAAGCGGCCTGTTAAATCCCATGAGGCTCCCCAACCACTCTGGCTTGCAAAGAGAGAAGCAGAGGCTTGGGATATACCAGGGAAAAAATGGTTATTGGAACTATTAGGTATCAGAGCAGTTGTATAAAAAAATAGGGGACACCGAGATTCAAGCAGTATTTATTTGTTAAATAAAGGCTGCAGTAGTTTAGACTGATTGCAAGTCTATCAGACAGCTGCCAAGGAGAAAAGAAATCTGTGCTCATCTTGTGCCTCCCAAATTTCCCCTGCTACCAGCTTAGTTCGATAGATCTGGTAGCAGAGGAAGCAGTAATGAATAGCTTCATGCCTTCTCCACTGCCACTGCCTTTCAAGCCTAGCAAAGCTTCACCTCTTCCGCAGCTACTGCCCTTGAGAAGACAGAGTGCCTCATTATTGGTTATCATGGCACCTTATTTAATTTAAGATGTCTCTGAACGCTGCTTCATCTACAGGGCTCATCTGTATCTGTATGCTGCGTGTCACATTCCCCTGGCTGCGCAGCTTACTCATGGTTAAATGCATGGAAAGGAAGAAAAAAGACTAGAAATGGTATTAAGAGGGAAAAAAAATCTCACTGCCTCATTATTTTTGTCTAGCTTTGTGCTGTATATGTTCCTTTGTTAATCAAAATGGAGTGATGTGGCAGTCATGAGGGATATGGCATGGATAAGGGAATCTTGGAGGAGAATCATCTGTCTCCTAGGAATTGCTGCCACTTTTATCTCTACTCCCCTGAGGGGCAACAAAGGCAAAGTTTATTTTAGCATGTTGGTGATGCTGACGCCCAATTACTTGAGGACCTGCCACTGTTGCAGAGTTGTGAGTAAATTGGAAACTTGGCTTTTGTGGGAGTGAAGCTGCATATTGATTGCTTAGCAAGACTCAGAGACTTGAAGACCTGTAAATCACCGAGCAGCCAGAGACACTTGTTACATTACGCATTAAGCACATCTATGTTTGATATAGCTGCTTCTGGGAAAGGAGGATGTGGGGGGCTAGAGGTTGGTCTCATCCTGATCTCCTGCAGTATCGAATACAGAGCTGGGCAATGGGTGGCAGTTTGTCAGGGCAGGGTGACAAAGTGGGATCTGCCCTCGGGGTTGTCAAGATAAGACCATGGAACATAGGACAACTTAGTTTGTGTAATGGCACGTGGGACATATGGATGAGTCCTGCCAAATCACCAGTGAGGACTATTTCCAGCAGCTGAATGTCACAAGGTGATCTGGTGATGGACTAACTAGGCCAGGACAACCTTCTGGTGAAACTCTCCTTTTTCTGCTCCCAGTTCCAGCTGCAGTCTCTGCGGATTGTGTGCAACAGCTTAGGGGCGGAGGAGGACAAATGCTGTGATCTTCCTGCTTTGGTAAGACAAAAGGGACCACTCTGCTCACGGAGGTAAAGTTGGGGATGATGGAGCAGGAGGTGACCCTGCAAATGACTGAACTTCGAAATACTGCAAATGTTGCATTCTTCTCTTGCTAAGCAGCTACTCATGCCACCTTGACTTGCCTTTTCTTTTTTCAGAGGGATGAAGAGACCTGCCCTACCTTAGCTCCTGCCTGCACCTGTACATCTGGTCTCCCAGGCTTGCCAGGACCTCCTGGGCCCCCTGTAAGTTCATCTGTCCACATCCTCCTAGAACAGTGCAGCAATGGCCTCCTCACTCAAGGGAAGATGTTTTAGATGATCTTGTCTTTTTGATACCGTGGTTCTATTATGAAATCAGTTCCACAATTTGCTGGAAGCAGCGTCCTTCTGCATAGTAATTACATGCTCATTCCAGTGGAAGTTTAATTACACAGCACACTGTTCTACTGCAGTATATTTCAATATACTAAGTGTATAATTGCTGTCTTGCACTGCCCTGTGGTTTTAACATCTCCCCAGCACAACTCTAAAGAGCTGGGTTCTTTTGAGCACTAGAGAAAATACAGTTATGACACAATCTTATCCTCACACCATTAAACTTAGCAATTTGTGGCAGTTGCATGAGCACTCACTGCTACTTTTAAAACTCCAATGGCTTTAAGCCAGCAAGACCACATCCCAATTTATAGTTATTACTCTTTCTTAATGAGTGTTTTTGACCAGGCCAAACTAGCTTCTGAAATGAGCTTCTGGGCATTTCAGAAAGAACCTTTAGAAAAGCTTCCTAGATGTACTACTTAATCCAAATCCATTGTTATTTAGATTCAAGAATAGAAAGTTTCAGATTAAGATGTCAAAAGTTCACACAGGGCTGGTTTATGCCAGAAGATTAATTTCCTCTCAGATCCCATAGCTGTGCAGAGGCAGAGCTAAGCCGGGTCTCCCTGGACTTGGCCACTGTCCCTGATCTCTGCTTGTGTATATTCTGTCAGGTGGCGTTACATAAACCAGCCTTGTCCTCAAGGGATGTGAACATGAGCCCCTTTCTTCCCTTGGTGCATCCCGGTTGTACCTATGTGAGCCCTTCTCCAAGTCTTGGGTTTGCAGGAGGTCTGAGCAGGTCCAAATTCCATCTGTTCCTGTGGTTGATGGGTGGAACGTTCCTTCTGCCTGTTGCGATGGAGGCTGAACTGGCTTTTTCCCTCACGTCTTCCAAATTGTCTGGATGGCTGATTCGCTTTCTTCTTGTACCCATTTTCTCGATGTTCTTTGGGTCAAGGATGGTCTTCTCATTGTGTGTGCGTATAGCAAATAAGCCAACTCCTGTCCCCAAGGGTCTTTATTACGCTGAAATAAAAATAGTAAGATTAACAGCAGCAGCTTTGTGTCTTGTTGGCAGGGCAGCCCTGGAAGGAGAGGACCCCAAGGCGAACAAGGGGAGCCAGGACCCAAGGTGAGACCTGATTCTCAGCACTACCATTAACTTTCAGATGTTTCAGGTTACATCAGAGGAAGGATACAGGAGCACAAGCTTCTCTTGTAGTGGAGCTGGTTGCATTCATTCCGTGTCTGAGCTTGATTCCTCTGTGTCTTCTCTGTTTCATTGCACCAAACAGAGGCCACTCCAAGAGCTGGGGCATTGAGGAGTGTGGGATAACTTATTGTTAATTAAAGGCTCAGTTAGGCTATAAAAATATTGAATTAATGCAATGCGATCAGCAATGCTTTTGGATGGCAGCCATGCAGGAAAGTGGTCAGACTTTAGCAGGCTAAAGTTGCTGTTCCACTAGCCCATGCACAGTAAAGCCAGACCAACCACTTCTCCCCTTCTTTGGGGAGAAGAATCTTAGATCCAAAAGGCAAAGGCAGGGGAGGTTTCGAGAGATCCCTACTGTCCTCAATTCTTCATCTTGGATCTTGTAGAGGGTTTGGGGTAACCCACCTCCTGTGGTGCAGTCTATGCTGAGGACAGGCTCTTACTGATTTCCTCCTTTATGTTTGATTTCATGTCTTTGGCTTTAGGGTGAACCAGGCCCACCTGGACAAGTGGGACCAGAGGGTCCTAGTGGCCAGCAAGGCTCTCCAGGTTCCCAAGGGATCACAGTTCAGGGACCTGTGGTATGTGACCTTTTCCACTGCCTCATTTGTCACCTGCTCTTTGCATTAAGAACATTAAAAAAAAATTACATCATCCTGTCAACATTTGAGCAGCTGCACTAGATTCTCTCTAATGGACCTTTAATGCTAACAGCCCAGGGGAGTGTTCAAGCATTTCTTCAGCGTTAGGCAAGGGATGCAGTTGGAGGTCCGCCGTGCATGTCTGTAGGAGCATGGAAGACCCCATGAATATGTGGTTGCAAAGCTCCTTTTTAGCACCTCAGAGAGAATGAGCATGGGAAGTGAGTATGGAGCAAACGTGATGTTGCTTCCCTTAAAACATACAGCATACGTACGTGTTTTTCTGTTTTAATCCAAGGGACCGCCAGGAATTAAAGGAGAGAAAGGAGATACTGGAAGTCCTGGCATGCAGGTAATAGCAGACACCATTCCTTTAAATTGCCTCAGAGATTTGCCCTTTTTTTTTTTCCCCTGGTGATTAAGCAAGCTTGAAAAGAGATAGAATTTTTCCCATTATCTGTTTTGAAACTTTCACTCTGGGCTCTAATCAGCTTGTTTTTCTGTGCTGGTTTACCCCTGCTTCCTAAAATTTTAGACAGTTAGGCGTATCTAGACATACAAAGTTTTAGACATCCATAGCTTCAGCCTTCCAAAGGGACAAGTGTCCTACTTATTTCACAGAGCAATAAGGCAATCTCCAACAAGCAAGCCATAAATGAACTATGAATCAGCCACAAAGGTAGGAAGCAAAGTCAGCTTGGCTGCCTGCCTCTGCTTTGGTGTTTCCCAAGAACCCTCAGAGAAGAAGAATTCTCTTTCCCCATCATTTTTTTTTTAATTTTAAATTCTTTGTTAAAAACTTATGAAGTAGGAAAATAGTAACCAGATGCCAACTTGACCCAGCTCTTTTGATTTACAGGACATTCCTGGTGTGCAGGGAGCTCCAGGCAGGGACGGTCTTCAGGGTGCAAAGGTAAAATACCTCGTCTCTGAGTCTTCAAGCATGGGTGCCATAAGATCCACCCATGAGTGTACGAGCAGTGACACAAAACATCCAGCTCTCCTTATGTACACACTGCATAACTAAATGATGCTTTTACCACGCCAAAGTGATGAGAAAAAAAAATACTATGTCATCTCAGGTCTGGCCAAATTTTCCTGACTGATTAGGTGCCAGGCTTCTTGTCTGCTTGGCAGTTATACTTTTACTCATTCCTGGCAAGCTCCTTTAAAAGAGCACATAGAGAAACCATCTCATTGCTTAGCAGCCGTTGGAATCCTCCTGTTAATGCATGACTGTTTTTGGCTTGCAGGGGGTGAGAGGGCTAGAAGGCACAGCTGGGCCTCCAGGACCACCTGGACCAAGGGTAGGTACATGCCCTCTGCAGTCCCCTTGAAAACTCTTCCTTGGGGTTTGTGTTGATGGGCTGTCATCCAAGGATTTCAGGGTAAAATCCCTTCTCATATCCCAGCCCATTTTCACATGGCTTCCCTGGCACTGTCAGTATAAGGAATAGTGTCTTTAGCTTCCACTTTTGGAGATATCTTCTGGGAAGACCTTGAAGCAGAAAGCAAATGATTGCTTTACTATTGCTACTTCCCTGCTGCTACTGCTTTTTTTCTGCTCTTTTTTTTTCTTTTTTTCCTTTTTTTCCTTTTTTTCTTTTAATCTTTTTTCTTTTTTCTTCTGTTTTTCCAACTATTGGGTGAGTTTGGGATCTATGGGGATTGTCACGCTGAAATCACTAGCTGGAGGCTGAGGCAGGTGTAAAAGGATTCCTCACCCACCTCTTCTGATACCTGTTGGATCAGGGCTGCATGTAGTAGGTGTGTTTATACTCTGTGCCTGCAAGAGCAGAGCCTTAAGATTTGTTGAGAGATTTATATGCATCTGAAACTTTCAAGGCATAACAGCCCTTCCAAATTTTGTGGAATTCGGCTGTCCTGAACAGCATACAGTGAATGTTGCTCACTGCTGTCTTCGTGTAAGACCTCCTAGTAGTTGTAGCTGGGTATTTGTAGAAGTTAAGTCTGAATTCAACTTACAACTGTGACCTGATCATGCTGGGGAGATGTGGAGGAGGCAGGACTGAGACTGAGCTTGCTAAATTTGAGGAAAACCCTACAGCCTTCACATCAGCATCTGGAAGACATTCTGGTGCTATCTTGAAGATTCCTTTCATTTTCTAAAGGTCAAAGTAATTGTTTATAGCTGAAGTTAAACTGAAAATTGTAAAGGAACATATTTGTTGTGTTTGCTATTTGTTTTTCTTCCTTATGTGACACAAAATTTCACAAAGGCAAGATGACCGGAGAATGCATTTTCTTTTCTCCAAGCTGCTGTTGCTGTTGCAGAAAAGCCTTGGAGGCAAACAGGTCTTCAAGTTAAAAATCAACAATGCAGTATTAGCAGGCTGAAGAAAAGGATTATGCTCTAAGCTGTCTAAAATAATTTGAATATATAATGAGGGATCTAAGACCTGCAGTGTAAAAAGTGCATTGCAATTTGTTAGCAAAATTGGACTTTGCTGGCTTGGCCATAATTGAGACAGTAATAAGAAATGATGTAAACATGAGTCATATGTGATATACTTTTAACATCATATTCATGGCTGGATGAGGCACTGACATAAACCTTAAGCAAACGATGCCCTTGCTGGATCCTCTGAATTGAAACTGCTGGTGCCCCTGAGGCCACAGGGAGATGAAAGCCTCAAACAGGGAAAGAAGAAAAGAAGTAACTGGACTTTTATCTTCATCTTGTAATTAATGCTGCAGGGTTTCCAAGGAGCGACAGGCTCACGAGGTAGCAGTGGAGAGAAAGGACCTCCAGGTGACGTTGGGCCAACAGTAAGTTTCTGCTTGTGGATCTTAAAGGCAAACATGAAGTAACTGAGGGCAAAGAAGCTGTTCCCAAAGAAAGCGAAGAATAGTCTTAATATGCAAAGCCCAGACTACTTTACTGTTGATAAAGCATTTGACAAATCCTGCTTGCCTTCAATCCCTGTAGACTTTCAAGCTACTGAAAACCCAGCAGACAAACAAATTTCCAGTGTGAGATTCCAGACCAAATAAAGAATTAGGCAGGCCCAGGCAGGGCCTGCTTATGTTGGGCTTTTGCATGGCAACCTCAAGTCTAGATGGCACAATGATTTTTTTCTTCATGGATATTTAAAAACACATGATAAGTTGGGAAGACTGTCCTAAAGACTGTCATGGAGGAATTTCTGCGTCTTGTTGATCGTGTTTTTTGTCACTGCTCCAGCAGCCACTTTATTTTTGATGCCCTTTAAAAAATGTGTATATATTTCTCTGAACTCAAAGCTTATTTAGTCTTTGTCCTGAGGTCAAGGAAAAGATCAGTGTTGGAAACAAATGTAGTGCTCCAGGTACCATGAATGTAACCCGTTGAACTTTTATTTTCTTTTGCTCCTCCTTTCTCTAGACTTGTATTTTTCCTTTTGCTTGCTTTTTCGCAGGGGCTTCCAGGTCCAAAAGGAGAAAGAGGAGAGAAAGTGAGTTTTCTGGGGGTATTGGGCAACGCAGTCACTGTATCATATCCTCAAAAGAGGGGATGTGGTAATCTGCTTCACAAGTTATGCTTACATATTTAAACCATTTTGGTGTTGAATAACTTGCTGCAGCTGCAATTCATTGCTTTTACATTCTCCTGCACTGGCTATTCTGCTGGGATATGTGTAATCTTACAACAGCAGGAGCTGCTTAGTGTCAGCTGTAGCAATGAAAAAAAAGCGCTAGTTGAAAATCCATCCTTTGCTGGGAAAGAAAACACAAAAATGTTAAACTCATCATACTGCTTATACGCTTTCCTCATATTTGAGGAGAGCTGAGGAGATTAATACTGCCTATACTACAGATCAATTAACCCTATAACTGCTACAAGTTCAGTGTGCAGATCCGTATGGAAGTCAAGGGGACTTTTGCCACCCAAGATGTTTTGAAAAGTCTGCTTTGCTACTTGCCCATTTCTGAACTGTTACCGTTAATGGATCTGTGTGTCCTTTGCACCTCTGTGCAGTTGGTGTGTTCATAGAGAGCACTGAGAGAAGACAGGGCTGCTCAGCAGGATGTTGTGGTGACAGGTTTTCTCACTTAGGATGGGGCTGAGGACCTAACACCAGTGGTTCCAACTTCAGTGGGTTTCAGATCGGACCCTTGGAACCTTTATGGGTGTTTAGCAAGGGCCAAACCAGCTGCCTACTCCAGAGCTGTATGTGAGCCTCTCTCCTTGGCTCCCTTTCTAGCCAACGAAGAGAAATAGGTGTGTTTAGGACATGATTCTCACCCAAACGCAGGAGAAAATAAGATGAATCGTGTCGTCCAGTGTGCTCCTCCTCTGCCTGTCTGGGTGCCTTGAGGATTGACTCAAATTGCAGACATGCGCTCCAAAAGCTGTGTGAGATGAATAGTCCTTTTAATCTCTGAGGCTTTTTGCAGATCTCCTTGAGGCTAAAGATTGCTTTAGTTTCAAGTTAACTGCTCAGTATTATATTTTTTAACACTGTTCTCCTTTTATTCCCACCAGCTTTTCTGTTTCTTTACTTACTCTGCAATAGAACTGTTCTTTTTTTCTCCCTTGGGTGTTGTTCCAAGCTTTTGCTTCATTTTGGCTAGGTCTGCACATTGATCCAGACAGAGATGTATGTTTTGTAATGGCTTTAGAGAGATGCAATGTTTTAGTTATGAGTTTTCACGGAGTCAGTGTTTATTTTCAAGCAGCTTTTTTGCATTTTTATTGCTTTTTCTTGCTCTACCAAAACTTTCTATAGAAACTTCCACTATATTTTTTTTTCAGGACACAGTAATAGTAAGAATCAGTATTTGTAAAAGGTGTAGACAAAGATAGCACACTGGAATATTTCATCTTGCTAAATATTTTACATATCATAAGATATTGAGTTATAGGCTACACAACCTTAGCATCCTTTGTGATAAAATTTGAAAGTGAAATTTATTCTCCTTTTTTGGTAGCTTCATAAATAATATAAATTCAGTCTAGCCCTTTTGATATGCAGGAGAAAAGCAATTATTGACTTTTCCCAATTACATTTTTATGGCTTTGTGATAAATAAATAAAGCTGCATTTCATAGTAATGAATATCTCTGTAACTCAAGCTCATGAGAAGAACGGGAAGGCAGATATCCTGCATGATGATATTGATCCTGCTTTAATGATATTAATACTTCCTTTCTTTATATAAAAATGTTTCACTTTAGGGGGAACCACAATCCCTGGCCACAATTTACCAGCTTGTTAGCCAGGCTTGTGAGCGGATGATTCAGAGTGAGTATAACCAACCCGACTGAAACGAGTGTCCAAGCCAGGCTGTCAGTGCTACCTTGTTCTTTTGAGGTCATTTTAGCAGAAAGGCCTTCTAAGTATTACATGGAAAAACCCTTTGCCACCTTGCAAAGATGACTCTTTTCTCTTTCTGAATGAAACAGATTTGGCTTGAAACTTGGTCCTTTAAGGAGAAACTGTAGTGATTTATTTGTGCTGAATCAGTGACTCATGCAGGAAAAAGAAAAAAGAGGAGTGCTTGTTTTTGGAGATATATTTAATCTGGGATGCTCAGAGGGTGCCACTGAGTGCAGGCTGTGTGAAATGTAAAAGGAATTGCACGGATCCCTCTTAAGATGAAGCATTTTCTGGCTTATCTTCTCAGCTCATGTGTTGAAGTTTGATTCATTCATTCATGAACATGCGAGGAAACCGGTTCCTGTTTGGGAAGCAAAATTAAAACCAGGAGAACCAGGACCACCAGGTCCTCCAGGTCCCCCTGGGAGCAATGGAGGAAGAGGAGAAAATGGCATCCCTGGGCAGCCTGGCAAAGATGGATATCCTGGAGAAAGAGGTATGGATAGAAGTCTTCTTAAGCACATTTAACCACATGTTTAATACTTTAACTAAGCACTGTAATATTTCAAACAATAAAAATGAGAGTAAGGTCAAACATATTGCTTTCAGGGGTGGCCTGACACCTCTAGATAACTAGAGACCTTCTGTTTAACCCTTCCAAAGGTGTTACTGCATTTTAGCTGTGATCTGTAGAACTTGCCAAGTGTTACTTAAGAGAAAAAGGAAGGTAACAGCTTGCACATGTTTCAAACCTGCCAAGTGAGGAGACAAGAGTCTTTTTTCGGTGAGATCCATCTCCTCCTAAGGACAGAACTAATCGAAATATTTTCATCTTAAAATATGAAAAATGATGTTTTGCCCAAAGGCACACTTTTTGCTGAAATGTATTAGTTTTGATAGCAATTTCATGAGAAAACTGCCAACGTGATGTCACCAGCAGCTGGCTGGAGACACTCTCCAGCCATGTCATTTGTCTGAGCAATGTGAAAAACATAGGGGACTGGAGCTTCTCTTCAGGCCACTGCAGAAACACCAGTGTTATGATTTTTTTCTGTAAAAAAAATATCCCTGTTCTCACCAATATCAGGCTGCAAGTCAAAACTGATCATGGGCAACTGGCTGTTCCAGAAAAGAGAGTGGGCTTTAACCCTCGTGTGCTTTTTAAGCAGCTAAGAATAGTGAGGAGACTGCAGGAGCTTTAGTTGAGGATGAAATGCAAAATGCAGGTACGTGGAACTTGTCTCCTCTCTGTACTTAGGCGCACCAGGGCCCAAGGGTGAAAAAGGGATGTCTGGAGCCAGCGAGGAGGGAATCCAAGGACCCCGAGGCAGAACAGGTAGAGTGAATAAACCTCCTTGTGTCAACCATGGGGTCAGCCAGACCTCGCAGTTGCCAGATTCAAGGCACCACTCAGCCTTAGGACTGTTGCATTGAGCAGAGTGGCCTTTTGGCTGTGGATGCAACAGCTTAAGGTGCTGTTTGCTGCTTCAGGTCCTCTCTGCTGAGACGTAAGGATCCATCTGTACCAGGCAGCCTTACACATTCCCAGTCTCAGTGCCTACCTACCAGCAATGATGTGTTTTAATGACCTGAGGCATATCCAGGGAGTTTTAGCTTTTCCAGACAGACACTCAAGTGATAGAAACTCATTGAAAATTCAGCTCCTGAAGCACAAGAGATTTTTTAGTAATCTTTTAGGATTTGGTGAAACTTTCCATCCTGATCCCTGGATTCTTTTCTTTTTTTTCTCTTTTCTTTTCTTTTCTTTTCTTTTTTTTTTTTTTTTTAAATCTGTGAGAGGTTTACCACTGACTTAATGAACCAGACACTAACAAGGGAATATGTTCAAACACAGTCTTGTATATATAAATGTTTATAGTTGAGATGTAAAAGCAGATGAAAACATTAACTCTGAGATGGATCCTGGGATTAAGGTGATTTTCTGCATTGTCACATAAGCAGATTTTGGATTCTCATAAACAGGCTCCATTTTTAGGTGAGCTGGATGCCTGTAAAGTCAAGGATAAGACTTACTGGAATTCAGAAGAGGTTTTCCAGAGGTATTGCAAACAATACACAGATAATTAACACTCATGTAGGATGGAGGTATTATAGCATGGATGTCATACAGGACCAGCTAAATAGATGTGCTACTGCTTGCAATGCTTCTCTTCCTGCAGGCCCACCGGGAGAAATAGTGCTGGGGAAACCAGGTCCAAAGGGTTCCCCTGGAAATGCTGGTCCTCAAGGCTTTCCTGGTATCAGAGGGCATCCTGGACAGCCTGGATATCCAGGGGGTTGTGACATCTCTGGATGTTATGGGACAGGTAGGAGAGGTAAGCCTCAACTGTCTTAATGCAAAAGTTATGATTTTAGAGCTGGTCTCTCTGGCTACTTCTCTTAAACTAGGTAGATCTCCTTGTTCATCTTTCAGGCACTGTCAGTCCTTGAAGAGCTTCCTCTGTAAAGCACTTCGATGGTTCACACGCAATTAGTCTATTTACATGGACAAAAGTCAACTCAGTTGGCTGCTTCATAGATTAACGTGTTTAACTGCAGCAGCAATTGGGTAATAGGAGTGATCATGGGTGTATCTTCAATTCTTAATGTCCTCGGGGATGTTTTTATGGAGGATAGAGAGGATCAATATCCCAGTTCCTGCATGTATATTTCTTAGAAGTTGGACTGTGCAAAGTCCCATTAAAGAAAAATCAGTTGTGCTGAAAAAGAGATTTGGAAGGGAAAAGGAATAACTCTGCACCCTCCTCCTCAGCACTTAACATTGATTTATTCTCATGTTCACTTGTATCATTGCGTGTTTCCACAAACAGATTTCATTCCCTGATGGCTGATGCAGAGGCAGCTGAGGATAGTGCTTTGCCCTGGCAATCTCTGGGTGAAGGCTCCACGTACTCTAAGAAAAGCAGGAATCTGAACATCGAGTACATTGTTGGCTTGTTTGTTTTCTAAACCTCCCATCATTTCTGTAATTATGTGTCAATCAAACACTAGGGCCACCAAGCCAGACTGCATGCAGATGAGCTCCAGGCATCCTTCTCTGTTCTCCTGATTGGCATCGGACAGCGGCAGCATTCAAATTTACATTGCATGTTCCACCCAAAGCAAAGACACGGTCAGTAGTGCAGCCCAGTAGACTTAAACAAAATAATAATAACATTGAAATACACAGAAATAACATAGGTGATTTTTGCCAGTTCATGCGTTTCTATCCCATGTTACTGTGGGTCCCCAGCACAGACAAAAACAGCACCTCATGCCCAAAGATGCAAATCCACTGGAGCAAAATTGTTCTTTCTGTTGGCTGGCAGTGTAATAAAATCTATCACCACTCCACCTGCTTCTGGCTCCGTGCTGATGTCTCCCTCTCCGCGGCGTGATGTGCACAAGCGCCGCAGACACCGTGATAACCTCCCCGTGCTGTGACAAACCCTGCTGTTTAGCCGTGCTCTCTGGGGCTTGATATCTGCCAAGCAAAGCCTTAGATCTGACAGAGCACAACCGTGTACTGCAAGGAGCTGGAGATTAACCTGCTGCCCTTTTCCAGCTCTGCCTCCTGCAATCTTAGCAGCTACTTCACGTTTTATCAGGTGAATATTGAATAACTCCAACCCTGACTTTTGCCCATATGGCATAGAGGTAATTGCCATGTTACAGCCTTGTCCTTGTTGAGCTCTGGTTTCATATGTATTCCCAACAAACTGTACGGCTAGTGATAAAAATGTTCTTGCTGCTTTGCATTGCTGCTACTGCACTGGTTGTGCTGGCTGTAAGCTTTCCCTGTTGCTAAACAGTGGTTTATGAACTTAGATTTATACATCTAGGAGCATATCCTGGGAAAAAAAATATATTTGGAGTTTATGAAATCAGAGCAAAAAGGGTCAGTACAGATTTTCAAAGATGCTAAGAGGCAAAAAAAAAAAAAAAAAAAAAAAGGTGCATCTATTCCTGGGCACGTAATTGGAATGTGAAACTTCTGTAGCCCTGAGCAGGCTGGTTGTTCTATTCACACGGCTGTAGCTAACTTTTGAATTCTTAACTCCAAGTAAATCCAGACTAAGAAACCAGATTGTAAAGTGCCCAATGGAGAATAGTTTCTTTTAAGAAAATTACGTTGTTTCCAGGCTGGTTGTTTCTCACCATTAAGTAAAATCCTATTGCATTAAGAAATTTTGCTCTGAACATATTGGACTTGTTTGGGATTCATAAATCCTACTGGAAGAGTTGCATAAAAATAGCATTACTACAGTCTATAAGTATTCAAAGTAATTTTTGGCTTAGTCCATGTCAATTCTGTAGAAACTCCCAGTGATTAATATTTTCAGTATGATGTGTCTTCCCTGCATTTACTTAAGGGAGTTGCAAAGAAATACCACATTGACAGAAGTAAAATTTCTGTTCACGTTACTGCTTTTCAGGCTCATCTTAACACATCAAATAGAAATCTTTCCAGCTTAGACTAAGCATTAACGCAGACAAAAGCTCCAGGCAGAAGAAAGGGAGAGGTCAGAAGAGCTGGAATACACATTGTGAATGCAGTTAATAGATGTATGCACCGAGATAGACCCTCTGCATCCATGCTGAGCACTTGTGTTTCCATTTGTATAGGTTAGAGAGCTTTAGATCTTCATTTTTCCTATTCTTTGAAAAATGAAAATATTCTGAAAATAGATCTAACAAACCTATACTAAGTCGCATTCGGAATATTTCTGCATTTACTATTGGTTATAAACCTTAATATTTGTGGCAGCTGAGACAAAATAGGGAACAGGAATAGCAGGGAAATAAAAAGGGGTGCTCTTTGCACAGCAGATCTCTAAAGCTGGGGCCCAAAATCACTTGCAGAGTGGGTTAAGTAGCTCAATGCAGAGTGTCTGACTTGAGCAGGTAATTCTGCTTCCCTTCTCGTTTAAATCAGTGCAGTCAGATCCAAGTCCTGAATTTGCAGCTCTGTCTGTTCAAATCTAGTCTCTGCAGGTTATTTGACATAGAGCTCTTTTGTTTTTCTTTAATTTTGAATCATCTCATTGCCTGACTTGGGATTTAATCTATTAGGTAGAGTTTCAAGTGACATTTGCTTTTGTCAGATTATATCAGATAGAAGATGAAAGGTTAGCAGTTAACAAAACCTAGTGCCATGTGGGCTGTTGATTAGGAGAAAGGCAACCTACACAAACACTTTGCCCATTTATATTTGCAAATTTTGCTCCAGGGGTAGCTTTATTTACTTGAAATCAGGGATGTTTAGTCTGTTTAGTATCATAGACTTAAAAGTGAAGAAGTCTTCCCCTTGAAGAGAACTCGGAAGGTTTTTGTGTCCTGACCTGTACAAAGGTTTGAGGAGAGAAGCTCCTTGCTCCCATCAGAAACTATTTGCTAGGTGGTTTGGGGCAATCACGTCCTTGGAGGCGCTGGTACCTGCAGAAGTTCAAGTTGCTCACCCTGATGCAACTCAACATGCAGATGGCAACTCAGTGCTTGGCTGGGATGGTGCCCTGCCTGGGGTGTCCATGGTGGGCAGCTGTGGCTAAGGTCACCTTGGTGCATGTACTCATGTTTGATCTGCCTTCATCCCGTCTGGAGTTGATGGGCGCAAGTATGGATTGGCCCAGGACCATGTAGGAATGGGGTCGCTTGGCTAAAAGGCAGCTGTGCCCATCAGCAACTGTAGGACAATCTACAGGTGGATTGGAGAAGGAGAAGACAAATTAAGTCTGCAGGAGGAACATGGAGGCTTTTGGTGCAAGTGGTGGAAAAGGTGGAAGAACGAGGCCATGACCCTCTTCTTGCCCTGGAGGTGACCTCTTCATAGGGCATGAGGAGTCCAGGGTGCCACTGAGGAGCGGAGCAGGGCACCCTGTCCTGGTGGGGAGTGGTAGTCTGATAGACTTGTCTACGTGCCCTGGACATCCATCAGCAGCAGAAACCCATCTGTGATCTGGCTGATATTATAGACATACCCATTTCCATGGGAAAAAAAAAATCTACAACATTTCTTTGCTTTTATTGTCACCCCAAGGCTGCTTAAAGCCCTTTGCAGCAGGTTCGTTGTGACATTTCACAGCACGGAGCAGAGCAGGGTGCAGATGCTGGGCAAGAGGTTTGCAGGGAGGGCAGGGAGGGGATGAAGCATTGCAGGATGCTCCAGGGAAAGCAGAGGCAGTGGGACACTTCCCATCTCTGCTGCTGAATGCTGAGGCCGCCTGTTTGTGCACATGAATTTCTTGTGCTCCTTTCGATGAGTGCAGTTTTCCCTACTGTGCTGTTCTTCAGTGCGCTTTGTACTTTCCTGGTGCAATTTATCACTTTTGATGTAAGTTACAGTTGAAATCAGTGCCACGTGTTAGCTATGCAGTATGAAAAATTCCCATGCAAATCTTTTACCAGTAGGGAGTTTGTTCTCAAAGCTTTAATCACCATAAATAAAGAGTTTCAACATAAATTTGGGGGATTTAAACCTGATTTCTTGGTAAATAAGGAGTTTGATGAATCCCCAAGAAATCTCTGTTACCTGCCATTTCCTCTTCTTTGCAAGCTGAAAGTTGAAGACTGTTCACCACCCCTTTTGTGGAGCCTTTATGACAGCACCTTGTCCTGATTTCCTCATTCTTCCATTATCCTTCTGTAATCAGTGTTACAGAGACTTTCTTCTCACACAGTGAAAAACTATAGTCTGATATTGTATATTTAGTTTCTTATATCTTTAAAGTTTCTGTACTCTAATCTGTAACTTTGAATTTGGGTTTTTAGGCAAGTGGGACCGTGATAGGGGATACTGTCTTTAGAGCTATACTTGTCCTATATCTATCTACCTTTTCTGTTCCTAGATAACTCTCTGGAGATAAATTTTTACAGAAGAGAGGTGGTACCAGCTGTGTGGGCCATCTCACAGAAGATGAGACACTGTGAGGACAACCAGCTTGGTCAATGGAGGTTGCACAGCTTACCCTAGCAGTCAGCTGCAGATTGAGTGCCTTAGGGCTGCAAAAACGACCCAGACGATCTAGGGAAAACTAGAAAAAAATATGGTAAATTAGGTTATTGCAGCCAGGTTTCTAAGCCTTTGCCCTTCTTGCCTTCGTGATAGAGTGATTCTGCTGGGATTGATGGAGTTACGCTGGTGGGAAAATGTGAGATGCTGGGGTAAAGATAAGGTCTCTTCTCAATGAGTATAGCAGAGAAGATTAGCACCTGTGTTTGCTTTCCACGATGCCCATGGGGTCTTTCAGCTTATTTTTGCACATCTGGATCCTGAGCAACTGTTTGCTTTGCATCTCCTCTAAGGCAGCTTTAGGGATCCTGCTGTAGTACCACTCTTTCTTCTTTTTTTTCTAATATTACCTTAGACAAGTTGTGGGAATCACTTCAGAACTGGGAGCATTACCAATATTATCAGTCTGGCTGCATGAATTTTTCTGGAGTCTTTCATGTGCGAAAAACCTCTCTCCTTGTATTTCATCTTAGCCACTACCGAGCAAGGGGGTTAGAATAGCAAAATTATTCATTTTTCTGTGCTTATAGACTGGTCTGTATCCTAGTTTTATTCAAGTAAGGCTATTTCTGATCTTTGGTTCCTGTGGAGTAGAGCATCCTCCTTAGCAACTTCTGTGTTGAAATAACTTATCCAAGAAAGAGGAATGGGGTTTGGTTCCTATTTTCTGCTCTAAATTTTACCAGGAAGCATATTGGAAACAGAAGCCTTTACTTGAACCAGAAGTGTGTAGGGGTGATTATCTCTTTCGAAGATTGTTCCATTCTTTCCTTAAAGGGCTCTGAAGATACAAGTCTGCCTCTTTCTTCCATATCTTGCCTGATGCCAAGACCACCCATTAAAAAGCCTAGAGCTGAAAAAAGTAGTGTGTGAGCGTGAAGATACTCACTAAATCTTGCTGGAATGTAATTTTTCAAATCTCGGCAGAGTTGGCTAAAGGGGGAGATATTAATGCCATACAAACAGAAGTAGGGCTGTCCCTGTATGAGAAATCTACTGGCATTAGCAAAGCAGAGGGAGGTCAGTGACAGCACTGCTAACCCCAGGGAGGCTTCAGCATCATCACCTGAGCGGCTCCCCAGGGA